GATGTGTAGGCCACAATACAAGCAGATAGGCACTTAGTGTGATATTCAGGGAAAACAGTTTAGGAGTCTACCTCCAGTTGACATTAGTGAGAATTAGGAGCATAATTTTTTGAAGACTTCACAAGGCACCTTTCTGCATCTTCAAGCACCTGAAAGAGTCCATTTTGGGCCCAATGCTTGCCTCTGTTTTTATCATTAATGTGGAGAGTGAATAGACAGTGAAAGAATCAAACATGCAGAGAACTGATTGCTGGTGAAAATACTGGAATAATAATAAAAACATACCATATGAGCTTCACTACTCAAAGAATTCTTGCTAACAGTACATATTAATATGACATCTACTATAAATAAATAAAATACAGTATAAACAGGACAAAGCAGTATAATGAGGAAACTAAAGATGATAATGTCTGACTAGAAACAGGTTGAACAGGGAAGGAACAAGACACTATAGCAAATGGTATATTAAGTACGCACTCACATGGTGGTGGACAGGGATGAAAACTCCTTTGCCACTGAAACATGGCATAGCACTGGAGAGGAGCGTCTTGCACTGAAAAAGGGTTTACTAAACAACCTACTAGGTCAGCCATCTCTGTACCTTTCATAGATACATAACAGAGCAAGTTGCATAAATCCAAGTTCTATAAGTAAATGTGAGTTACATGTAAATGTATCAATTGTTCATCTTCTGAACTGCTTCTATCCTCAGAACAGCACATTCTAATTAGTTCTGGCCATTTTTACTTAAATAGACCCTTTGGAGGTTTTTCAGATAAGAGAAACAAGCTTAGTAGAAGAGCTGAAGAAAACACAGCTGAAAGAAACCCCAATAACTGTTTACAGATGTAGAAAGAAGACATTGTTATCCACTAAGAACAGAGCAAGAACTGCTGGTCTTAGACTGCAGCAGAGAAAATTCAGGTTAAATAACTAGAGAAACCTGCAAATGAAGTTTTTGACAAAAGAACCGGCTTCTGCAAAACACTATAGGATCAGTGTCTCTGGGTACATGCAAGGTTGCATTAGCTACTGAACCAGCAGAGATCATAGGAAGGTTTCAGTCAATTCTCATTTTGCACAAGGAATGGATCTGAATGCATATCTCAGCCTCAGAGGGACTATGAATAAAGGATATGATACAAACATAAGTTGTTATGCTAAAATAGCAGTTTACACAGGAACAAAACTGAAAGGAGACAAGGACATATTGGTAAAAGGAAAAGAAAGAAATAATTCCTTTTAGAGCTGCACAAGGGAAATCTTCCATAGATAGAGGGACAGAAAACAAAGGTAGAAGAATGTACATAGGTAAGTCTCCGTGGGAACATGAGAAGAATGAAAACCGACAAATAAGGATGGACAGCAGGAAAGTTAATAACTTGTAGAGATTCACCACAAACTAACCACTCTGGCTAAAGGAAGTAGACATCTGGAGTCATGAAGCTCAGGTGCTACAACTGATTGAAACTTTTAAACCAGAATACAAGTTTCTAGATAAAACTTCAGAGAAGCTTTTTTCCTTTTTTTTTAATAGTAAATAATATATAATAAACAATACGAAAATAGTAGCACAATTTTTAAGACGACTGCTGTGGTAGAACTAATGGTTCCCCAGCTGATCATTTGACAGCAACTTGACATCAATTCCTATTACATACGTCGGTATTAATTCACTCTGTCCCTCCTTTAAAAATCACACACCCAGTTTATTGTGAATAGCTGTGGTGGTGTATCTTCCACTTCTCTTGCTTTACATCAGAGGCTTTGGTTTGCTTCTCAAGCCCTACTTCTCACTATCCTTTAAGGCACCTTCTCCATTTCCTAGCCAGGTATTCAAGCTCTGTTTGGGTCTGGTGACCCATTCAGCTATGTTACCATTTCCAGCCTATACCCATCTCACACCACACTGCCCTGCCACTTTCATTATCCAAGCATTTATCCCAAGGGAGCTCAAGGTGCAACACTATCCAATGCAACTGCTTGAAAATCTAACCAACTAGTTTTCCACTTGCTGATTTGATGAAGCAATGCATTTCATGATTATGTTTGCAATTTCATCAATGTTCTGCATGGCCAAACATTTTATTCTGAACTTCTGGTACAGTATATGTTCAATAAAATCAACTGAAGTATTTCGGAATATTTCATTCCACAAAACAAGCAATCAACCACCTTTTCTTAAAAACACAGGATGACAAAACATTTTGAGCTTTGAATATCTTCCTCCATACAGAAATTCCATATTTCCAGTCAGTTTTAATATTGGGATCAGGTTTAATAACGGCGTGTAGCTGAACGCATCTTCCAAAAAAGGCAGGCCTTTTCAGAAATAACATTGCCACCTTCCAACACAAGGGGCAGCATCAGCTGGGTACTGCTCTTGGATCATCTTACTAACACACAGACTAGTTTTTTTCCCATAACCTTTTTATTACTGATAAAACGAGGTGATATATTCTTGTTTCCCAAAAATATGAATGTGCAACTATGAAAAAGGAGCAGAGTAGTTCTTCACCACAAATCATTTTTTGTCCCCATGCAGTTAAATAAGAAAATTAATTTCATTTAGATATGCTTATGCTTTCTTCTTTGTGGTCACTTTCCAAACTCAAATATCAGAACATTTGCAGAAAAAGCAACCTGGAGATATGCAGATAAAGTAAAGTGTCAACCTATTAAGGTAATTATTTATACCAATAATGTGATTATGGGAATCATGTTTTCCCCAACAGGAAACAGATTCACTATTTTTGACCTGCATGTTTCCATGTAAAACAAGACTATCTGCCCAAAACATCTGCACATGGAGTAATGCAAACCAATGTCTAACCTACCACAATTAGATTAATCTATAAAAATATTTAGCAAATATTTTTCATTCAAAGAAAAAATGGATTCAAGAAATTCACCCAAGCAGGAAAGAGGCCTCAACTTAGGACAATTATTCACAATGAATTGTATGTAATATTTCTACAGAAAGTTAACAAGGGCAGGATACTGCTTCAGGATGATGGCATTACAATGGGGACAGTTCTTTCCTTCTGCTCCACAGTCAGGTAAAAGAGTTCTGCTACCATATAACTCTTTTCTCAGCTATCTACAATGGAAAAGGAGGAGTCAATGTGTAAAGTCTGGATTCCAAAACTCCTTATGACTCACCTCTAACTATAAGTTTCCTAAAAATGAAAGATATCAGCCAAATGAAATAGGAAAGTTTATATTTCCAAAACCAAAGAGGAAATTTATGCTCCAAAATGTAAGCCAAGGCAAAATTCCATCAGTACAACAATGTACTGGAGCCTTGACTTCAGCCCAGATTTCTGCTGCCTGCTTTGATATCTTAGATGTTTTATCTACTCTGTTCAAATCACTACTATGCATGTTGCGAGTTCTCTGTCAGATCCAAAAGCAAAGCAAGATCAGACAATAAAGATCCATTATGTTCAAAACAACTGCCACTAACAAGTGTCCTTGGATTTAGAAGGATGTTCCAGAAAAGAGATAAAGACACTTATGTATATATCAGCAGAGGAAAGCTGTGGATTTCAGCAAAAATACATACTGGGCTCCCAGAGAAGTCTTAGAAGACACATTTTAGTTCTTCCAACACACAAGGACAGCTATTTAACCACAGTGGAAATCTCCTGACTCTTCATGTCCTAAAGAGCTCTTTCTCCTTGATCATGTGTTCAGACACTTCATGTGCAAGTCTTCCCATTTCTACTCATTGCCCTTAGAATATTCACCTTGCTGAAGCAAAATACCCAACATGTCCATCACAGTGCTGTGCAGGGCCACATGGTCTCACCATAAAAGAATATGATTTGATCACATGGAATATAGTTCTTATGTACTGTGCATGCTCCTTATTTCTTCATGTTTTTAAAATAAGCAGGAAAATACCCCTATAGTATATGACATAGTAACGCTTGGTCTTTTAAGGTCAGTAACATTGCAAGATAGGTAAAGAGTGGAGAAAGGGGCGTTCTAAATGTCCTCAAAACCACCAAACATTTTTGAATCACAGACATGAAGACCTCCTGCTATTCTCCTACTTCTATTAACTTTTGCTAGGCTGTTGTCTTGTAAGATAGAAGGCACGCAGTAGCACAAATTATTATTGCATGTACACTCTACAGTAAGCCTTAAGATAGGAGACCTCAAAAGTACGTGGGTAAGATAAGTGCCCTTCACAGAAATGACATGGTGAAGGAAAAAAAGAATATCAGAAGAAGAAGGAAAGCACCAAGAACTAGACCATAAAAAAAAAAATACATTGTGTATCAAATATTGGATTCCTTCCTCATACTAGGACTCTGGTATCCTTCTTCAGTTTGGGCATTGGGCTCTGGTATAATTTTTCAGTTGGGGCAATGTCTTACTTCAGCTGCAGTCCCACTGTGAGATGTCAAACAGCATGGCCATATTCAAAGGGAATATGCACGAAAACAAAGCAATCCAGTTGTGTTTGTTTCTTAGGAGGGCTCAACTCCTGAGGATGCCACAAGAGTACTTTCTGACAGAGGGATGAGAATAAGATCTTCAAAATTTAGCCCAGTGAGATTTTAAAAGGACTGAAGGAAAGAGAATCCCCAAATATATGAAGAGATACAACAAGGGTGAAGTACCTTTGTCGGAGATTTTTGAGTTATGCTTTTGTTTGTAACTATCTGAAACAGAGAAAGAAATAGAGGGTGAATCTTACATGGGGGAAAGGAAGACAAAAGGCAGAGAAGCCAGAAAAAGAGAAGGAGAAAGAGAAAGAAAATATAAGAGATGATTTATTATAGGGCAAAGGGAAGTGGAGTCTTGCCGAGGACTTAATTTTATTTCCTTCATGCAAAAACACCAAGAGCAGCAGCAGCAGCAGGTGGTAAACATGCAGGTCGGAGAGCAGCAGAATATTTTGCTGGAAGGGAAAAGATGAAGCCCTGAGTGCACCGAGCTGGTAGGACCAGGCTGGAAGCAGAATCAGCTGTCTGGGTGCTACTTACTGTCACAAACATAGGGTTTGTCATGATCATCCTGGGAGGCAGCATCATTCCGTCTCCTGCCACCTCCAGATCCCCGAGCCTGCAAGGACAAGAGGAATGTTAACATTATTCCATCGCCCCTCAGGTCTCCTTGTGTCCCTCACCCTCCTATGAAAAACGTGCAATATAAACTAAACAAATCCTCAGCTTCCATACAGGTTTGTCAAGGGTGGGCTTGACCCTTCATCTCCTAAGATATACACTATGTTAATGGACCTTGTAATGCAGTGGAGATCCCCTCCACAGATAACCCAAACTGTTCATCCATAGCAGTAGGTCACTGCCAGCACATATTCAGTCGAGTATCATCACACATTCATTTCTGAAGATGTTCAAATACCTTGCTTAACTGAATATGAATGAATGAATAGATGAACAGGTGTTAGAGGATAAATATAACCATTAAATCAGCCCGAAATCAGCCCCCAAATAAAACAGAGGTAAAATTATTTCCTTTAATATTTTCAAAGGGGGGTTGTTTGGTTTGGTTTGTTTTCTAGCTGAAAAGCAATGTTTTGAAATGGCCGTCTGGGAGAAAGATACCATGGCTAATTATAAAATGGAGCTTTGGTCAGTTAGTTGAAAAGATTAGGTAATATGGCTACCTGCAATAACAGAGAATGGGAACTACCCAGAAAGGTCTCTCTGCAGTTCTGTGTTTCTACAACATACCAAGTTGGCGGCCCTGGAAACTGAAAAGCTCTGTTTCTCCACAGCACAGACTGCTCTGTCCTGAGCTCCAGGGGTAAGAGTGGAATTCAGCATCAAAGCTACTTGGTCCTGACCCTTCTCAGCTGAGATGCCAACAAGGGGACAGTTGATATTTGTCCAATGGTGGAGGCTATGATGTGGAACTGGGAACTGAGCCAAGGCCTTCAATTCCTTCATGTTCACTAATGGACAGTGTGTAGATGACAATAATTTTTGACTTGATCTTTATCTGAGGAAGTGACCTGCAGGTGGATGGCTAGATAGCCCTTCCTTAATTCTGCCAGCTACTCTATGCCTGGGTAAAAGCAACAAAAGTGTTTCTGCTGCTCCTCTTATTAAACTGTTGATGTTTCTCACCCTAGACAAGGCCACCTGATGCAAATCCTTCAAGCTTTTGCATGTGAAAATAAGAAAGGGACAGACCTTCACCAAGTAAAGCTAGAGAAGATGTAGAAATTCTGAGAACATTGGTGCCCCAAACACAAAAGGGTCATATGAGCTCTGTCCCTCTTCTATGCATTTGGGACTGAACTAGCACTATTCGAGCTGCATTCTATCAGACATCTAAAGAGAAGGAACAAGGAACAGTTTTACACTGGCCTGCCACAGTTTGTCAAAACGGGGATTTATAAAAACTTCACACATTATTTCCCTGGCATTGCTCAGGCCTAACTCTTAACACAGTCCTGAAGGAAAGATGTGGATTTGCAGCTGTCTGGATGGGGTAAATACTATTAGGTATGACAAGTATAGCTCTGCCTTCTGTAAAGACCTCTGCGCAGATCAGCACACATGTGCAGAGTGAGATTTGTAAGGGTGAACTGAAAAGCAGTTTCACCCTGGAAGAGGCCCCAGCAACAACTGTTTGGTGGAAGCTACTTTGCTGACCATATCACATAAAATCATCTTACTAGTCTGCAATATTTTCTCTCTGACTGCCAGCTCTGTAAACCCCCTCTGGGCTATGAAATCAATCCCAGGCTAGTTCCTTTCTTCCCTCACTACTGCAAAATGTGCTGCAAGCTGAATTTCGATCCATGGCAGCCCCTATACAACCCTCAGCTCATCAGAGGGTCTTCATAGAGACCGGTGATTGGCCCTTAATAAACATTTCTGCTGGTACCTGGATTAGGATCCAATTTCCCTATCCTACCAGCTGCATTGGCTTTTCAGGGCTGTGAAAAAGCTGTAAAGTCTTATTTTTGTCACCAGTCAGTAGGTCTGACTGTTTACACACTGAGAACGGATCTGTTGAGTAAGAAGGTACTATTTTTACATAGGCACCTTTCAGAATAGGATGGTAATTTAAGGTCTGTTGCTCGGAGTTTCGCTAGTCTTACAGCCAGCTGTTTCCCTTCAAACCATTCTCTACAGAAACGCAAGGGTACAGCATTCATGTCATGACCGCACGTCAGATATACTTTTTCATGCACTGAACACACAGGGGGAGATTTTTCAAGTCAATGACTTTCAATGGGACTTGGGTTCCTAAATGTCTTTAGTGCCTTTGAAATTGTCCCATGGGATATTCAGCTGACAAGCAGACAATCTGTACAGGTGCAGCTGCATTCCTCTCATATCTTCTAGCAACCTATCCTCCCCAGCTCCTACCCACATTCTCCCTGTCCAGCAAAGATACTAAAAAGGTCCTTCCGTAAATCCACCTCTTTGGCCTTCAGTGTCCTTCCTAATGCTCCCACAATTTCAGGGGCCAGCCTTGAGGGGGTAGCAAACCGAGTAGCTGCCCCGGAGGCAGGAAACTGAGTGCCCCGTGCCTGCTGTCGGCACTCCGGTCTGTTGGAATCAGTCGTCCGTGACTGCCTTCGTTCTCCTGATGGGATGCAGCAAAGACTACGAGACTTGACGTGTGAGGCCTGGAAGCCATGGCACAGCAGCCTTGAAGCAGCCCTGAAGCAGCCGGAGAGAGTAGCCAGAGGGACAGATGGAGAGTCCAGGATTAAAAATAAAATCATGCTGTAGGGCAAGGAAGGGTCATGTGCAATTTGGAAAGTCCAGAGCAGTAATTCTGTCGCATTAATCCTGCATCGATGCTGTCAGCCCTTCTCACTCCTTCTCTCAATCCCCAAAGGCCACGCTCTGCAGGATCTAGTTTCCTATGCATGTCCTTCCCCTCTTTTGCCCTCTAAAAATACCCTGACCAACTCCTTCCCAGAAACAAAGTGCTGCCCAGCTTTCATGTCCCCTGATTTCAAATCCTTGGTCCCGATTCCCTGCACTGGCTCAGGCTCACATTAGAAACGGGCTGCTTGAAGAGTGGCAAAACACTCATGACCAGACACAATTCAGGCTGCAATGCAGGCTTACCAGTTTTCAACAGCTAGGGAATCTGGCCCTAATTTCGAAATCCTAATTTATACCACATTTTGCTTTGGTTATTGATGCCATCAAATAAAAATGAAAATTGCTCAAAGTATTTGGCACTCTTCAGACTTCTTTTTTTTTTTTTTTTTGCACTGAATGAAGCCAGGGCACTAGCAGAGCAGGAATTAGCTGCAAGAAAAAGGCAAGAGATCCTGCTGCTCCTGTACTTAATAGGGAACCGGTTCTAGGGCAGAAAATAAGACGTACATTTATGCTTCAAAATGAATGGGACACCTCCAACTCCTTTCCCTATAGTAGCAGAGAAAAGGTAATAGAGTTATTCTGAAAGTTTCCTGAACAGGGGAGTAAAACTTTGCACATAACAGTAACTTCAGGACTTGGCTTGTGTAGGCCTGGGATATATGAATACAGCAAATTCCCTTCTCCTGAGCAGTATATTTCTTTTAGCTATTCACTCTCTTTCACTCACCCTAACAAGCATGCGCAATTTATGTGACAGCAACTTATTAGAAAAGAGTTGTTAGCCTGGAATATTAGTTGATCGCTACAGTCAAGCTTGTGTGCATGTATCGATTCTAACTCCTGGTTTTGGTTACTGGTTCATACAAATTTTCTGAAACTTACATTTTTCTGGAAAATTTTTTTCCAGGTGGGGGTCTTTGGCTAAGAAAGAAAGAAAGAAAGAAACTGGTTCAGGTGATTTTGAGAATAAGGAAGGTGAAATATATACTTATCCAATTATTAAAGTGCTTTGATCTTATATTAAAGGACTTAAGCTCCAAAATAAAGAGGAGCAGAAAACTGAAACAACACAACAACAGAAGAAACCAAAAGAGAGGGTCTGATGCATAAGTACATTGCAAGTATTCAATGTGGTTTCATGTCTCTCTCTCATTCAAAAGCTCTTATATCCTGCTCATTTGACCTAAAATGTGGCCCTTCTTGCTTGACTCCTACAAACACATCCAAAGGTACTTCCGTAGCTCCTGTGCCCCTGCAGCATCTGCCGGAGCCAAAGAGAGATGAAAATGCTTGAAACTTCTGAGAACTGTGTTCACGTTTACTTAGATGCCTAGCTTATGGGGCCACAATTGAAAATGTTGATTCCAAGTTTTAAAATGTTGGCCTCATTACTCATTACTGGTGCCCTGCTGAAATTGTGAAAAGACATCTTAGGTAAGAGAAGGGACACAGACTCCCCTAAGGATAAAATATTGCCCATTTTAAGCAAATGGAAGATTTGCCATGGGCTCAAGAGGGCCAGTGTCAGCCACAAAGTGCTACCTTGGAGAAAGCTGCAAAATGTATTAATACAGTTCAAGTTACTTTTATTAATTTTTTTTTTTTTTTTGGCTGTCATGACTGAATTTGTTGCTTTTCTGTAATTAGTAAATGTTTTAAAGTGAGAGCATTGTAATAGCAGGATGTCATCATAATTATTACAGTTTACATTACAATTGTACATACAACACTAAAATACAAATTTACCCCAAATTTTTACTCTCAAAATAGTCTTTTCTCATGGTAATTCACAAAAATAAACTGAAAAAAAATTTTAAAATCTTTGACCATATGACTGAAAATTATCTACAGTGTTATCACTATCATATATCAATGGATATATACTTTGCCTGTACCATACACATGACAAATACACACTAGAAAGCAGAGGATTGCTTCCTTCCTTTCCTTTCCAGTAAAGTCTCCACCTACCCGTCCTCTAGGCCTGTTCTTTCGTTTTGGAATATCTTCTTCCAAATCCTCTTCCTCATTCACTTCATCTGCATTTTCATCATTTTCTAAAACCCTCTGTGGTTGAACAATAAACAAGAATGGTTAGAAGAAAAGAAGATGACACGTACAACCAACTGCTGCTCTTTACCACAGAGACTGCAGGTTATTAAATTACAGTTGATTAATGGTATAATGCCAAATCCGATCCCAGAACCCCTACTTCTTTCCACTACAGCAAAATTTGCTTTCCCTTCCACCCTCAGTTCTCCAGGGAATTCTTATTAAAAAATACCACTGATATCAGTCAACTACAAAAAAAAAAAAGGTTCCTAAGAAATAACAGTGGCATCACTGAGCACTGATATCCCAAGATGAGACAAGTATTAGTATGCATAACTGCAGGCCCTGTCTGGGAAATTGTTTGCATGATTTTTTTAATTTTGGTTTCTTGCACTTTAAATTGTTCTGTTTTCCTCTAATGTTGAGAATGCACTTTAAGAAGACAGAAATCAGTGTTTTTCTCCTTAGCAGCTGAGAATTTTCTTTGTTTAGCAAAAATAGAGAAAATCCCAGCACGTTTAGTCAATCTAGAAAGTAACATTTTTCAGGGCTCACACCACAGGCACAACTCTGTGGTCTGGAAGCAGGGGTCTTGCTGCATGAGAATACTGAGGAAGTACAGGCTTCATTGAAGTTAATAGGAACAATAGCAATAGTTCCTTCAATTAATTATTTAATAGGAACAATAATCCATCTTCTCATAACTGTGAGATGCCCAGGCCAGGGGATTTCAATCTTTCTATCTTGATTTTTTGAAATCTAACCTCTGTAGAACCAAACACAGGCTGGCCACCCTGAAAATATGCACAAGTCGGACATTGGACATCGTACAGAGAAAGGCAAGACAAACCATCACAACACTAATGAAATGAAGCGAGTCAAATCCCATCAACCCATGGCACATCTGATAGAAATACAGAAATGGGCCCCAGCCACTCCTGCCATTCATGGTGCGGTGCCATTTCGTACAGGACTAATCTGGAATCACTAACTTATCTTTGCCATGCCACCATTCATTTAAATTACAACATGCAGCCATGATGCAAATTCAAATCAGTGACTTTTTAAACTGATGGGGACCTTTTTCAGTCTTTTACTCTATTTGTCCCTTCCCTATAATTTCTACTTAACAGCTATTTGAATGCCAGCAGAGGGAGAAAAGGAGCAAATCACAGTTGCTTTTTCTCCTTCCTACATATCCCAAGCACTGAATTCTGAATTTGTGGGAAAGAATACAACAGAAATTTCACTTCAAAAAAGTCTGTAATTGTAAGACCAACTATAGAAATTTATTCTTAATTTATCAGCTAATTTTTTAAGACTAATATATTGACACTGTCCCTTTTAAAAAGTCCAAATAACTTTTAGAACATGGTAGAGGCAAGTCTTCATCTGATTTTTGCTCCTTTTATTTTTAAATCTCAGGAGGCTATTAATGAAGTCAGACCATCATGAAATATAATTTCACATAATACTAGAGTACTAAATACTAGAGGGTGGAAAAGTTAAGCAAGTTCCAGTTCTACATACATAAAACGTTTCTTCAAAATTCATGCAATTGCATACATTAATTGACTTCATCTTAGAAAACTAGAGCACTCAGAAAATGTTGTACACAAAGAGACCAGTGCTATGTAAGAAAATATGCAACTTTACTGATATGAGTTTATATTTTCACAGTGCTTCATATCTTAAAGTATCTCCAAAAAAAGAGAAGGCTGCAACCATACCGTATGTGGGAGGGGAAGGAGCTAGTTTACAACAACACTACACAAGAGCAGTTAAGAGAAATATTGCAAACCACTTTCTTCATTTAAAATTGCAGCATCAATTTAAGAAAGAGATAAAAAGTAACCAAGTGTGAATTTGGTGACACTGCCAGGGTAATGACTTGACTTCTTGATAGAAGGGGCATAGCCTTTCTGATGCATGGTCAAAAGGCTATTCTGAGCCTTCTCCAGCAAACGATGGAGGCACACGTTCAATACCAATTTACTGTAGGGCAAAATCCTCAACCCTGTTAAATACCAGCTGTACAGCAGGTCCCAATGACTGCATGTATTGAGCAGGGGCAACCCCTACTCTTTTTAGCAAAGTAACTTTTTTTTTTCCTATTCTGTCTTTCTAAAACAGTTTCCCAGCCCAATGTACTTCAGTGCAGCTAAGCCCCAAGTTGTCTTCTCCTGACAGATACCGTGAGTTTGAAAGGGTGGTAAGTGACTTGTAATTAGGTGGGAATTACAACTATGTCTATCCCACCTGTTCATTCTCACCATCACTGAGGCTGGACCCTTTCAAGTTATGGCACAGAAGAGCATGCAAAGGAACAAAAGAGAGATTTGCATTCTCTTACTTATCATATAGATAAAAGGCACTGATGGTGATTTTGATCTGGTACAGCCTAGCTGCCAGGTGCCTAAGCGCACACTGAAAGCTGGCTTCGGCAATCGTTGTATAGGCTGAATCCAGATAAGCTGTGCTTGCATAAGAAACAACAGCAAGACATGCCTTTTGCATCTGTTCTGATGAAACATGCATCCGGGTGACAGGTCACAGCTACAGCACTTAGCTGAAAATTTTTTGTATATTATTGCACCCCCTCCCTGCTCTGCAATGCCCAGACCTGTGTCAGTTCCACCGTCTCTGAAGTCTCTTCCCTTGGACTGCTGCTGGGGATGATTTGGGAGCTCAGATCACACAGCAACATCCAAAGACACTTGGCGATCTCATAAGGATGCTGCACCATGACTTCTTGTGACCTTGGAAGCAGGTATAAACAGAGCTTTAGGGCTCTCAGCTTAATAGACCCAGATACACTATGGAGGAAGGAAACACAGAAATAAAAGCTCATGCCGAGCTTTTTCCCACTCCATGAGCACGGGACACTTCCTCTTTGATGGTGCTCCTTTACCTGTCTAACTGGGAACGGGAAACATAAATTTGTTTCCCTTACAAGTGTGAAATTTCTAGCAAATAGACCAGTAGGACTGAGCTCCAAGTAATATAGATTTGACCCCCATGCTCTTCTGTTTCATTTGGCATGAGGCTGCCCACTCAAATTTTTACTAGTTTTAGGTATAGATGCAACATGTTGTATCTCAGCCAAAATTATCAAGTTTGACACGTTGCTCATGGCTCTTACTAAAAAATCACTAATGGACTCATAACACAATGGTGTTTCAGCATCACCAAAGATGTGCTGCTGCTCCCTGGGGAGAGGTCCGCTTTCCAAGCGATTTAAGATGTCTTTATAAAGACATGCCCTTATATAAGAACCCTTTATATTAGCTGGATTCCTTCTATGACAGACCCACAAATGTGTTTCTACTTTTAATTGTTAAAGGATGAAATGGAATCTTGACAAATAACTTTTAAACCATAAAGCATGTGAAGAGGCAATATTTCTCATATCTGCATTACTAATAATAACTGAGATAATTAAGATTAGAATATTTTTAATTATTTATTGTGCTTGTATACTTCCTGAAGGCTTCTCAATATTAAAAAAAAAAACCAGGCAAGGGAATGACACTTTTTTGTCTACAGTCAGCAGCTATGAATCCAAATTCAAATCCATGTCCAAATTCACTTTAAATATGAGGCACTAACATTCAGTTTATGACTGGGACCCATCTCTGCTTGTCAGTTTTATATGTAATCATCTCATAGTGCTGCAAAACAAATTCCAACACAGGAGCAGTGCAGAACACAGCCAAACAACCAAGATTCTTGTGACAGGAGAAGCATGCGAGATCCTGAGTTCATTTTGAGCATCACAGTGTAGCACAATGGTTTGATAACATTTTGACAGTAGAATGACACAACTATCAACAGATTCACTGCTCTGCCACAGGACAAAAGCTGCTAGGCTTAGAGACAAGTTGTAAAATCCAGCCCTGCTGTCAGGGCATGGGGGTCTCCTTTACCTGGATTTCTTGTATAGTGTCTTCCTCTTTAGTGTCCGTTTTTTTCTCTATTCCCTCTCCACGCAGCAAGGCTTCCAGAGTTGTACTTTCTGAGGTGAACCCATCTTTCTTCAGAGGCAGATCAACTTCTGAAAAACAAAACACACTGACTGTATGTGTCTCCCCCTGACAGCTGACAAGCAGAAGGACAGAGATGACAAGCAGAAGACTGACAGACTTTCAAGCTTGTTTCCTTCTTGAAGAAGAGTTCTTCACGTTCTTCTTTTAACCACTAAGGATCTCCATATAGGATTCATTTCTATCTTACTGAAAACCTGGTATCTTTTCAATCGCTCTGTTTGCTTACAGGAAAAAATGGCTGGGCATATCGTATCAGGAGGAAATAAATGGGGAAAAAATTCCTTCTCCTTTATGTAAACTCCCTATGCTTCAAATAAAGAACAAACCCAGGGCTAAGATACTGAAATAACAAATATGAAGATCTGATCTCCTGAAGTAGAAAAGTAGCTTAGTACTATTTAGCACCTGGCATGGTTTCTACAGCAGAGTTTCAAGGAGCATTCTCCTACACCAGGGCATGTTCCACACATGGGGAAGCAGAAATCTAGTGTGTGGGGTCAGTGCTGAGAACTTAAACTGAAAAAACAAAGGGAAGCATCTTGAATTTTCATGTAATATTGACTAGATAAAATCTTCAGTTTGTTTTAAATGGGCCTACACCAATGAAGAAACACCAGTCAGCCCAGCTATGAGTGCAGGATCTAGCCCGGAAAACAGGACGACCCCCAGCCGCTGCAGGAAGAGCCGCAGGCTGGCTCGGGGCAGGCCTGGGACGGAGCCGGCTTATGAGGAAGCTTGATACAACTTGCCATATGAGTGAAGGAACAGAGTCTTATTCCCTTTCCGAATGCTGCCACTAGGTTATGAGGCAGTGCAGCAGATGGGCAAATACAGCATGTTAATTTTAGCAAAATGTTAAAATACACCTGGGGAAGAATTCAGTTTTAACTTGTAGATCCTGGCCTCTACCCCCCTCATGCAGGGGTTCATTCAGAGCAACCCCATGGCAGGGAAACAGCGTGAATGTCTCTTTACTTGATAACGCCAAGGTGTGGATTTCTCAAGTACTCCCTCCCTTCTAAAATGAATTCCTTCCTCTAGGCCAACAGATTTATAAAGTAATAACGTACAGGAGCAACGCTCACAAATCAGCATCTGGTGTCCTTATTTCACAGCTCTGTCCACTTCTCATCTGTTTGTTAGGACTGTGTTGTGTTCCCCAGTCTACCTGAAGCTCCCTGCATTTCTATGACCATGAGTTGTTAACTCTGCAGGGCAGAAATTCATGTGTTTATAAAGTTCCAAATCACTCCTGCAATCCAAATAATGAATGAACACTTCCACCTTGGACAGTAAAGTATAATCTGTTTCTTGGGGGCAATTGCGTCCCAGGAATATATTTGTTCTATATACAAAAAACTCTAAGCCAGCAAGTGATTCAGAGTCCCCGATCAGTGCTTCCCCAACATGCTTGCTCAAGTCTTCTGAAGTGAGAGAGCATTGCTCAGCCAATAACCACAGAAAATCCAGCAAAAATTCCAGCAAAAGCTATTCTATTCATGGGGGGAAAGGCTGAGTACAAACCATGCAGAAAACCCAAACCACTGAGATTTTCAAAGGAAACTCCCAGGACAACCCACACAATGGGATGGGGTCAACTGTGAATTGATCCCCCTTCTCATCACAAGGAGGTCTATTCAATCAGGCCTCTGTTTTCAGCATTAAGCTCTGCGCAGCCACGCCATTATGCCACCTTCCCCAACTTCTCCCTTACTTGAGCTATAAAAAAGGCAGGGAAGTCAACAGAGAATCATACAGATTGAATTTCCCTGTATGAACGCCTAGTACCTCCCTCCAGATGCTAAATCCAGACATTTCAATAGAAAGAAGGGATTTTAGACTTGATTTATGTCCAAATCCCGACGCTTGAATCTAAAGCCACTAAGGAACCTCCATAATCATCTCTGGCTGTGGGCTTGACTTGGTTTCAGAGTCCCGTGCTTAGGTGCAAAAGGGCATTTGCTCTGTATTTAGAACCTTGTGGGACTGCAAAACCCAAGGGGTCATCATACATTCAGCAAGAGAAGAAGCTTCAAGCAAGCTCAAGGGCATGGGAAACAAACATGTCTTCACTCTGACGTGCTATGCCTGTCTCTGGATACCGATACGTTCAGCAAACGAATGCATTAGAAAAGGGAATGAGCAAGGAAGGGGTGAGGGATAAGTAGAACGTATATGAAAGTAAAACTGCTTCCTGTTTGTTCCGGAGGTATTAAACATTAAGTCAGAGGGAAAGGTAGACTTTAAGGTCCAAAACTGGCAGCTGTCTTTAATAGACATATTTGTTTTGTGTGGCGCTGCTACTTCCCACCAGCAACACTCCAGGAGACTTTTCATCCAAAACTCTCAGAGCATTTTTTAATTATTAAATTTAACATCCCACTGACAAGGCAGTGTGAGGTAACACTTTTAGTCCCAGTTTACTGATGGGGAGATCAAGTCACTGAGAAGTTAAGTTAGCAAGCAGGAAATCTGGTGAAAAGAAACTCCGGGCAGCTGCCTCCCATCTGCCCGCTAAGCTGACTGCTATTCAACTCCTTCATTTTCTTCTCCGCTGGTAGCTTCTAGGAGTCCATTTTCACTCCTAAGTAGCTCTAGAAAGTGGGAAATGGCAGACACTATCCTATCTGGAATGTAAAGTTTACGGTATAAAAACCTACAAGGGCCCAAAGACAACCTCTTAGTAATGAATTAAATCTTTGTAACTAATTCAATCCTTCCTGGAAGATGGCTAGTCTGTAAAGGATACAGTAATGAAGACAGGAAATTACGTTTCCAAACCACTCTTTCCACTTT